GTTCAAAAACAGTGGTATTTGTTTGCTATTTGCATCTAATGAGCTTTTACATTTTCACCTATGTACTTTAGTTAAATTAGTTGTCATCCACAGCGCTTATAAAAGCTTTATCATCCATACTGCTGCAGTCACATAATGGCGGCAGAGTCATTGCAGACTGATGGATTTAAGCAGGTTTAAGCTAGCAGCTCTTCAGCTACTGAAAACCTTATTAAAAGTTCATAAATCAGCTGTAGTGGTTTTAGTATTTTAATTTAGATCAAATATAAAACAATCCTGATGCTTAATCTAAATTTTAATAATGTACGCAGCTGTGTGTAATAATATTGTACATTTAGCTTTTTGAGGCTAAAGCCATTTTTTTTAAGTGTAGAGCATCCATGAAAGAGTTTTTATATACACATAGTTATTATTAATAATATTTTTTTAAATCTGCATACAAAACTGTTAGTGACAAACAGTTATTGGGCTTCCTCCAGGGGCGGGGTTGAAACACTGGTAATGATAATTAAAAATACACAACTCACCAGTTTTTACTAAACCATAAAACACATTTGATATCAAATGTACAGAAATAACAGACTTCTGTTAGAGTAACAGAGTCATTGCCATAACTATACACGCACACCGAGGACAAACCCTGAGATACTGTAAAGGGGAAATGCCATTGTAGTATTCATAAACTGTTGTCCAGCTTATTTTAATGACACCACCTGACCAATGCTACTTTGCTACATGTGCTGCAGACAGTGCTGCAGACAGTGCTGCGTGTATTGCAAATAGTGGACAAACTGTATGATGATAACATTTTAAAATATATAAATATATCTATGAGAGGCCAACACTGGTCTTTGTATTGCTTGGCTGTGTGAAAATAAACTGCGGCTAATTCAGACTGGAGTGTTTGCTCTGGAGGGGGTTGTAGTACACCAGTATTGTTGCCAGATGTGATATTTATTTAAAAAAAAAAAAAGTGATATCATGTTAATATAACACACATTTGCTAATATTTTCAAGAAATACCACCAGTAACTGTCTGGTTAACCTTCCAGTAGCATTGCACTTTAATGTTGGTTGCTAACAGTCATAAATCAGAAAAAGAGCAATAATAACTAGCCAGCTACAAGGGAAAAAAAGTGTATAATGGAGACTTTATGTACCTTTTCATTAGTATATTTATAATTTATATCATAAATCTGACATTAGCAAAAATATAAATAAATGTATTGGAGTAAATGTTGTGCCCTTGTTAAGATTGCATGTGGATGAACTGCAGTATGCAGACAGCTTTCATTTTAGCTTCTTGTTAAATCAGCTTTTCAATCAGTTGTCACTGTAAAACAACCCCGTGGTGAACAGGAGCAGCTAAAAGGTTCTTTTGTTAATTCTTCAACTATGTGTACAGGTGATTTAATGAAGGGGGAGTTCAATTAGAATTTCATGTGAAAATGCTGACTGAAGGGAAAACAAAAACAAAACACTCTTTAGACCAGGGGTGTCAAACATAAGGCCCAGGAGCCAGAATTGGCCTGGCAAAGACTGATCTGGCTCATTGGACACATTTAGAAAATGTGGAGAAGGAAGGAAATCTTTTAACAAGATTTTTAACAAGTTTTACAGCTTTTCCTACCAATAAAGACCTCACCCATGGCCATTCATAACATCCCAAAGTAATTAAGTGATAATTTTGTTTGTTTTTTTTTGAGTTGTTTACAATTACAGAAATATTTCTGTAAAATTTTAAAAGAAAAATCTACAGAAAGTTCTGTAAAATTACACTTTTCTTTTTTTAAACAGAAAAAAAATTCTGTAAAATTACTGAAAAACTACAGATTTTTTTTCTGTTTATAGAAAGAAAAAAAATCTTACAATTTGAGCCCAAGAGTCACACTGAGAGATTTCTCTCTGCTATAGCAGCATTTCTTAATCACATAGAAAAACTGAGGAATATTGTTCAAATTGCCCTTCTTTTTCTAATATTAAGATATCTTAGGCATTAAACGTATAGTTAAGCTTCTTTGCATTGACAGAGAGGTGAGTTTAAGTGGTCCGGCTCATTTAAGATCAAAGCAGGCTTTTTAGAAGTGTCACAGTCACTGGGGCTCTGCTTGCCCCAGGACTGGGTACTCGTTTTGTGTACCATCTTTAACATTTTCCCCACATTCTTCTGATTGTGTGCATGCATGCTGTCTTTGCGTTTATGTATAATCGCCCCGCACCTAAAACTCGCTTTGCTTTCTGTCTGAACGCACACATTGGGGGAAAAACAAATAAGGAGTCTCAAGTGACATAAAGAGCATCTACAAACATTCAAACTCCAGAAATGCACTGACAAAGTTGAGTAGAGGTTGAAAGCCAAGCGACGACTTGCACTTTTGCATTGAGCGTTTACAGTCCTGCATAGATCTTTTTCATATATTTTTTTTTTCAATACAAACTAAGGCGTCTTGTTATATTAAGTTGGTTTGAGTCAATAAGCAGATAAAGGAAATCAAAAATCTTAACATTTAAAAAAAAAAAAAAAAAAAAAAAAAATTCAAGTAGACTACAATCTTGTTTCTCCCCCTCTCTCACAGGCAATTCCTCTGTCCGCAAGAGGAGGCCAAAACTTTTTCAATTTAAGTCTCTTTTTTTTTTCCAAGGAAAGGTCCAGTGTGATCGTTAACAGCACCAAAAACACACCGAGCAAGAGAGGGGCGTCACACTTAACGCTTGCTCGTTATTGTGAGAGGGGAATACACGTCTTTACCCAGTCATACAGAATAATCTGGAAAGAAATTAACAGTATATTGTGTTTCTTATGTACATACACACATTTAAAATCAACCACATCACAGTCTCTCTTCCTCTCTCTCACTCAGACACACACACACCTTTGTCCCTGTGTAAATTACAAATAATTTATCAATATTAATTTAAGCTACTACTTAACAGTCATTTGTGGGAGCAGAGGTGACCGACGATAAACTTCTACAGACGATTCCCACGAAAGACAGAAAAACAAAAGTTCATTAGTCAGTCTGTTTCTTCTTCTTTTTTCCTTTTCTGTACTGCAACAACGAGTCCTGTTATTCCACATGAGCTTAAATACAAATTATATTATGTAGTGTACTACTACTCTCATCTGTACCATCACCTCGCTCACACTCATTCCACAGTGATCAAGGTCAGTCATATGTAAACATGTTGACAAAGAGGAGAAAAAAAAGGCAGAACAAAAACAAGTGTCCTCGTCATTCACGCCGTCTTGTTCTCATACCCGGTTTGTTAGAAAATACAGTTAAATTAAATCATTGCCACTCGTAGCGGAGATAAACTCTTTTATGTCCTCTTTTTGTTTGTTTGTTTGTTTTTTTAAAGGAGGCGAGGGAGCAACACCCCCTCCCCCCTTCATACCGCATCACGTCAGTCAATCAAGCCGAAGAGTCTGTTGGTGGTTGTGGCCAGGAGGCGAGGATGTGACGTCTGTCTGTCTCCTGTGCTGTTATTGTTCAGTGGGATTTCCTCTTCATGTCTCCACCCTGGCTTTGGTTCGCATCTGCGTGGAGAGGGCACATTTTTAAACAGCTGGACGATGAAACAGATCCAGCAACCTGTGGCACCAGTTCACTGAAGGGCACCTAAATGCACTGTTTCTCATATTCTGTCATATGTGCACTGTTAAACCGGGGGCAGTGCGTCTACAAGCAATCCCAAAAGGTTCTAAACACTTAATTTCAGATAGTTTTTCTTGGAGTCGCCCCCTGCTGGTTATTAAAAAGAATGTTGGTTTCAGGCACCTTTGTTTCACTTTAGGATCGAGAAAGATGTGAACAGACAATCGGGTGGAAAACACAAAGTGAAACAAAGATTTTTGATTTATTTAAACAAAATCCAATGTGGAAATACAGAGATTGGCAGTAACAGATGATAATATTAGTCCTTTTCCTTACAGAAAGATTATATATTACTAAAATCTCAGGAAGGACCATCCTTAAGGTCAATCTGAGGTCATTAAAATACTCGCTAGAAAGCCTGAGTTGAACTGGTGCAACAGGCTGCAGCAGAACGACGAAAAACATTGTTTTATGAAACATGAAGGGCCGAGTGTGTGGGTGGTTCTTTGACTGAAAATGTAAAATATTAAGCATCTTTAATTCTGGCAAACTGAGGTACACAGACGTCTGGCAAATTCTGAAATTTTGGGTCAATATGATGTTTAAAATGAAAATCTGGCTGAAAGGTGACATCTTGACGTTATTTATATAATTTTGTGTTGTCTTTTGAGTTTACTATAAAACTGATGGCAAAGTCCACGGGAAGTGGCGACAGAGACAAGCTACGCAGGCCTGGTCCCTGTGATTAATTAACAGGAGTTAGAGTAAATCCAAAGTGTGGATTTACTTGGAAATAATAAAGGACGACCCAGGAACAACCAACCTTAGTAGGAAAAGACCTTTCATTCATCCACCTTAAACTCAGCTTATTATTTAAAACGTGCCAGTAGCTGAATGCTTGGTTTTTCCTGCTTTTACAGAACACATGTTAAATTATTTGAATCTTTTTTTTTTTTCCCCTAAAAATAAAAAATGACTGCTGCTGACCTGTTTAAACTTTGACCTATCAGTGTTTGACCCTTTTATCACTGCATCCATATGTGAAAGCACCAGATCAAAAACTTCTAATATGAAAAAGGTTTAATTGTTCATAAGTAAACCAGTAGGTTCCAGGTTTGTTTTTGTTTTTTTTAAACAGACTTTGCTCAAAAAACGACATATCTTCGTGTTTCTACTATGCTACGATCAAACCAGAGGCATGCTGAACACCAGATACACTACAGCAAACAGAAAGTTGGAGAACTAACAAGTAACAGAGCAGCTGAGCCGACTGCGACAAGTCGGCCTGACACAGACAGATGGAGAGGAAGGATGAAGAGGAGGTGGAGGGATGCAGATTACCTGAGAAAGCAAGCTGCAAGTGAGGAGGTAGGGCAGCCTGTGACCCTGACTGGAGACTCTTATACAGATCTGAGGAGAGATGGAGGGTAGGGTGGACAAATGAGAGGAAAGACAGCAACAACCAGGGAGAACTGGGAAAAGATGACACCGTTAAAATGTGAGACCAGCAATAAAAGATAGTCGAGGATCAAAGCTGTCAGCGAGGCGAACGAGTACAAAGGGCTGAAACGACAGAGACGGGTGCAAAAAAAAAAATGGTGAGAACAAAGGAGGGAGACTGGTTTGTAAAAAGATAGGGTCATGGCAGGGGAAGCACCGCTGGTTTACAGAACAAGCGCTCACAGAAACACACAGTGAACCAGTAATATTTAAGGAGTTCCATTTAGTCTCTTACAAAGCAAGGTTATTGTAGTCAACTAAAACTACATGTGAAAAACATTTTAATTAACCAAAATAAAAATAGTTATTTCAGAATAAAAATAGAATATCCTTAGTTTTAGTTCTTGTTAGTTTGGTAAAGATGTTATTATAGCTTCATGGACGCGTTTATTGAGATTCTGGATGTCTACAAGACTGAGTCAACTGCATTCAAAGAGTTATGCGTCTTTATTGTTACAACTGTACAGATTTTTCTAAATCTTGGCTCTGACATCTGCTCTCCATACAGTAATAATTAAACAGACTACAATTAGCACTGAACATTTAAGTCCTAGGTGACTTGCTTCTTGAGTTATTGCACTGAAATTCAAACTCATCTGATATTTTTAGCAGATGCACCTTTGGTAAGTTTTTCAAAATCGTACATCGCTTCGTTCTCAAGTTATTGCATTCACAAACTTGGGAGTCCACCCTCCCAACGGCACACCTGGTGGTGTCACGACAATATCAGATTAGCCTTTTACGACTGAGGGGTAAAAACTAAACTGAAACAAGAAAATCTATAATCAAATCAACAAAAACTACAACAATTCTGCTACAGTAAGTAGTAAGTATTAAAATACTTTTAAAGATGTTACTAGTTAAATTCCTATATCTGTGAAAAGGTTACCAGAGTAACCCATTTTCTAGCTTAACAGAAACCGCCAGTATAAATCCTGTACCATCTTATTTTTTGTGTTTTACCGCAATCCCCACTTAATATAACGTATTTGCAAGTTGTAATAAAAGGCAAAATAACTTTCTAAAGTCTAACGTGTTATTGATATAGGTTATCAAAGGCCTTTTATTTTAAAAAGCACAGTCAAGTCTGTCTGTTGGTGATAAAAGATGCAGGTCCCTTAATTAAGAGCCCACTCACCCATTAGGTCGCTCTGTGCTAACGGGTATCCTGAGTTGGAGCTGGGTGCTGTGCCCATTCCAGCCGCCCCGGAAGCTCCAGGAGGGCTGAAATTGAGCAACGACGGAAACTGGAAGGGTAGCGAGACAGGCACTAGACCTCCCAACATCCCGAAGCCCAGGGGCAAAGCAGAGGGGTTGCCCAGGAGGGAAGTGCCTGCAGTCGATACCTGCAAAGGAAACACAAAATATATACAAATATATTCAAAACTAACTCTAAGAGTGACTTCCCGTTGGTGGAAACTAACCTGTGAGAGGTGTGACGTTGTGGAGGATGTGGCCAAAGTTCCTGAAGCCACCCAACCATTTCCAGCCTTTGAGCCCTGGCTGGCCCCACCCACCACCCTCTGCCTTTGCCCGTGACTGGCTGAGACTGAAGGTGATTGGGGGGTTTTGTCCGGATGACTGCAGATTGTCGAGACCACTCCCTTGTTGTTAGAGTTGTTGTTGATGCTACTGTTGCTAGTGGTGGACTGAGGTTTCTGGGCTCCAGTGAAGCTGCAGCCGCCCTGTGTTTGTTTCACCTGCCCGCCACCTGATACATTGAAGGGGGGCCGGAAAGTTTTGGGGGTTTTGGGAGAGAACTGGTGTTGCTGCTGTTGGGTGGAGATTATTTGATGGGAAAGCGGATTTGACGGTGAGGATGATGGCGAGGGGGAGGATGAGGGTGGCGGGGTGGGGGCGGGAGGCCGAGGGGTTAGCTTGATGATGGGAGAAGAGTTGCTGCTGTGCGAGGACTTGGTGAGGGTGGCCTGCATGGGTGTGATGAAGTTGGGCTGGTGGTGGAGGTGTGTGTGGGATTTTCCTTGAGCGGAGTGTGCGTTATGGGGGGTTGGCGAGGGTGAGGAGGTGGCCGGTGACGGGGGGCAAAAGGACTGCAAGCCATGGTGGGAGGTAGAGTTGGAGCGGGACTGAGTGGAAGGGGAGGAGGAAGCTGTGACGTTGCTGTTGACGGCGCTGCCATTGCTGCTGGATTTGGCGCTGCTCTTTCCCAGTGCGTGACTTGCTCCCATCGTTCCCAGTATCCCCACCGGGCTAGCAAAGCCTTTCTGATGGGGGGGCAGCAGAGGGGAAGCTGTCGGAGGAGGCCGATGCTTTGGAGGAGAGGGGGAGGGGTGCGGATGCATCTTGCCCATCACTGTGCTTGGCCGGTGATTGGGTGACGCCATGGTAACATGTCTCTGAGTCTGGGTTTGGCCCATGGCACCAGATCCTTTGATCGGGCCATAGTGACCGTCTGCAGTCCTGGAGGCTAACGCTAGGCCTGCTGCCTGCACGTGAGCAAGGGAGGAGACAGCCGGGGACGAGGAAGAGGAGGTAGAAGAGGAGGTTGGTAGCGTTGTTATTGGCAAGTTCACAACAGCTGCAGCTGTCAGCGGAGCACTCTCCACTTTAGACAGGGAATGGTGCTGCGTTGTCTGTGCTAACGAGGCAGAAAGCTGAGAGCCTGAGGGGTAGTGAGGGGCGACGGGTGGAGGAGAAGAGGTTGGTATTTGCAGCGGTGGGGGAGACAAAGGGCTGTCTGTGGGACCCTTGGATGCATTGCTGAGGAGGGCCAGAGCGTGGGAGATGGAGTCCAGAGAGGGAACGGTCAGATCTTCATCCAGAGAGTCTGACAAACAGATGGGCTCCGAGGAGGAGAGGGGCTGGCGGTTGGAGGTCAGAACAGATGTGGAGGTGGGCTGAGATGGGGTGGAGGTCATACCGAGCGATGGTTTGTGGAGCCAAAGGCCCTCCTAAAGAACAGGAGAACACAGTCAGTATCACCCAAGATCCACAAAGAAACCAGAACTTATTTCTAACCGCTTCTCTTCATAAAGTACAGCTCCAACATTTTACCCACAAAACACTTTTTAAACCCTGAACGAAACTCATAGGTTCCTTCACACAACTCCTCCTTAACATTTGAGCTTTTACTGTGAAAAACGTCAGGAAGCATTTTTTTTTAAAGCAGTTTAACAGTGGCTTTATAATTCTGTGTCATACCTGTCAGACCCTTCTGAAACCTTGCCCCGTGGCCTGACTGCACCCCCTATAAATGTTACTACACCTGACTGTATAAATCCTACAAATCACTTAGTTTTTGAGAGATACACAAATATGATAGAGCTACAGTTGTATTAATTCACGAAAGAACTTCAGCCAGTGGGCTCAAATTGAACGATTCATAAAACTGCTGTAAAATAAAAATAAAAATATACACACCCTTTTTTCTTTTTGATATTTTGCAGTAAATAGTCTGAGCTGTCACTCACCTTGGGTTTAGCCTTGGGTCCAGGCATCATTCTCTTTTTCACTCTGTGTGGAAAAATACCAGCAATTATTCACCCTCTTCAGCTGACATTTTACACTGACGCTCAGTCCCAGTAAAATTCCTGCATGCTCAGAGTTACGGGAGAAACAAAGGACACACTTACAGGTTTCCAGTGAGGTGATTGTGAACAACAAGGCTCTCCTTGAACAAGATCCTGAGAAACAGGCAATAAACAACAAGGTCAGCCAAAAATCAGGGTCACTGACATTAAAGAACGACATCACCGAGAAAAACGGAAAACACATTAAAGTTGGATACAGACGGTTCCAAAGGTTCCTAATGTGGATGGATTACTATTGTTGAGGGTTTACACATATCAAATAGACTTAACTGCTCTCATGGCAGCAGCAAATTTATAGTACTTTGACAACATTTAAAACACAGTTTGCATACGTTGCACTTTTCTGCGGATAAGTGCCTCCTGCTTGTAACGAGCTGAACACACAAAAGCAGCACAGACCTGGTCTGCATCCAGCCCTTGGGCCACAGTGGTTTGACCTCATTCTCTAAGAAAGCCTTGAGGTAGTCCTCCACAGACAGAGAGCACTGGTTCTCCATCTCATAGCAGCTCAGCTTCACTCGCACTAAGCTGCACAGCAGGTTCCTGCACAAACACACACACACACCCCACTCAATATTAAGGTAAAAAACAGGCTGCAGTCTCCGAGCACAAAATGACAGAAGACACTGATATGCTTCAAAGAGGCAGAGGTATTCATTTATTTTGAATTAAATGAATAAATAAATAAAAGTCTTTGTAGTACGATGGAGAAAATTAATGAGCACTTATAAGCTGTTTTATTCAAACACCATTTCTGACCAGTGGGTTTCCTCGTTATTCCTCACCATGCAGGAATAAAACTTTAACTTCGGTTTTAGTGAAATATAAGTGGGAAAAACAAAAAAAAAAAATGGAGAATGGTGAAAAGTAAAAGCTCTTTCTCCAGGATGTGAAGTGTTAATCCTGCAAGCTCTGAACGGACATAAATTGTTTACAGCCTGTATGAGCTCGGTTTACTAGATTAAACACCAGCGGTGGAGAACAAAGGGGAAGATGAAAACAAAAAGAGAGAAAACAAATCACTCCACACAGCAGCACAAAGACGCTGAACGGCATCCAACCGCCTCTTCCAGCAGGACAGACTCGGATCATTACCTGAGCTTGTCGTCCCAGACAAACTTCTTCCGAGGTCCCACGATTCTCTTCCCAGGTTTCTCCTCATCGTCCTCCTCTGAGCCGTTCTTATCGCCCTCCTCTGACTGCTGTCTGCAATAAAACACAGAGATATAAAAGTGAACATAAACGGCTTGAATAAACCATTTTTTCC